GGTTCACCAGCCTCAGGAGGGTAGTACCCACACTGGGGCTGCCTACACCAATTAGTAATTAAGAAAATGCCTCCCGGAAGTGGCTGCAGGCCTATCTAAAGGAGACAGTTCCTTAAATGAGGTTCCCTCTTCCTCACTGGGCCACCGTGACAATGGACCATGACTGACATAGAACCTCCCACAGAAACTTCAATTCCCTAACTGACCAGAATGATCCTGGGATCTGCCTGTCTCCCTGCCCCAGCTTTTACCCAGATGCTGAGGATCCCAACTCAGGTCCTCACGCGAATGCAAGAAGCACTTTACCCACCCAGCCTTCTTCCTGCCTCAACTACCCATTACTTTTCACCATCTTGATGACTTTAATGCTTTGGTTTGCAATTCTTGGTCACCACCATCACGCAATTCTAAGCAAAAAGCTCTGTGACAATACATATAGCAAATTCTCAACCATATTCCGAGAGTTTAAATCTTTTTTAGTTCTCTACTCCACAAGTGTCTCGAGGCTCTGGAGTCATGCCTTGAAAATTGAGATGTACCGCAGAGAATTGTGGCTAGCCAACAAGAAGGAAGGTTTCACCGGGGAGAGAATCAGGGCACGGTGACATACTGGAAACAGGCTCAGCAGGTGAGAGGTGGCTACAAGACAGGAACTGGCAATGGTGACAGCCAAGAGAGGTGTGCGGCAGAGAGAACACTTTCTCATTGTCCTTGCTGCTTAGAGATGACGTTGTGCTGGACAAGGCAACTCTTCCAGAACATCCCGAGCACTTCAGACCATTTAACCAGTAACTACAGCAATTTATCCCAGGAGAAGCAATACTCTGGAAGACTAAAAGACCTGCCTCAAAAGGCTGAGTGAGTTCACCCAAAGCCAAAGGGGAGAACATCATCTAAATTTACTTTAAAACTCTGATCATTGCTTTTAAAGGGGGCAGGGGAGTGAAAGTAGCAAAGTTACAGAAGGAAAGACAGAGAAACACTCAGAGAAAGACGGAGGACTGGGAGGTGTGTTACGTAAGAGATATACTTATACCTGCAGCATATTTCCCACAAACTTTGCAATCTGTTTTCCGCTTCTGTTGAGGCAGTCAGCCTGGATACAGTCTCTTCACGGTGTGGCCTGGAGGGATGTGCGTGCTGGGGAGTGTTCTATCTGCCCCACACTTCTTACGGCTGACACCACTGCCGGTTCCCTTCCTGAACTCATCATTCGCCTGCTGAGCCTCTTTCCAAAATGTCACCATGTCCTGCTTCCTATGCAAGTGGAGCATCCCTCTGTCTCTCTGCGGTACGTCTCCATTTTTGAGGCATGACTTCAGATGACTCTGAGTTCCCACACGTCCCATTTTTCATAGCTATCTATAGTTTTATAGTTGACAAGTTATTTCAAAAATGTCAATAATTTGTCACAAGTTTAAACTTGCCTTGCTTTTGACCTGTGAAGCATTTAGAAAAGGGGTTTTCGTTTTTGTTTTCCTTTAAGTTAACCCTTAGTTTCAAAGAACTTTTGATGGATTGTTTCAAGGATGTTTGGTTTGAATGTGGTAGTCTGGAATCTAAACCAGAATTCTGTGAGTGGGTAAAATGATAATTTAAATACATAAGATTAACAACAATCAACTTTTCAGGCCTAGAATAGAGGTCTTGAGCCTTTGTCCCACTATTTTAAGTAAGGCACCCTATCTGGAACATCCCTGACTAGACGCATTGTTTCCTTAATTGATGTAATTCCAGCCCATGGAAAATTCTAATGCTGAGAACATGTTTCTCATCTCTGTGAGGCACCTATGGCATTATCAAGTGGAAGCACAGCTTCTGTGATGAACCAAAGAGCACCAGCCACGTGAAGGGTGTAGGCATGGGAAAAGGGTTACGTCAAGAGACACAAGTGTCTCTCCTGTCACATCTCTACCCTGGCCCATGTAAAACAGAACATATGCCAATGCACCAGGAAGAAAAGCCCCTGAGTGGTGCCAACACCAGACGACAGAGCAGGGAACACGAAAGCATCCAAAGCAGGTTGACAAACTCCAATTACCTCACGTGCGAGGCTGACCAAGACTGACTGCGACGCAGTGCACACCCCAAACCACCCAGGGTTTAAACTTTTAGTTGGTAGTTGGTGTAATATATAACGCATTAAAACGTATTGAATTTTCATAAGCTGCATATAGCTGTTCGATCGTTTTATTTGTCCGGATTTACCCCACCGAGTGAAGAGTCAGCTGAATGGGTCTGCAGCTGCCCTAATCTCTTGTGGCCTTGATTTGCATGTTTTCTCAGCCTCTCCCACAGCCATATTACTGTCTTGGTAGAGAAAACTAAGACTAGAAGGACATAGGGATATGTCCAAATTCACGTACAAAGAAACCAAACTCAGCTCTGACTCCCGCAGTGCCCCTGTTGCCGGCCTTATTTGGGTATGTGTGTGTCAATAAAAGATTCAAAGATTAAAGTAAGTCTTTAATATACACGTGATATTGCCATTATTGAACTTAAACCTTATAAAACAAAACCAGTAATTACAAGAGACACTCTAGGCATAGACTTAAGAACAGAAATTGGAGGTAAACAACAGCATGTTTTAGAAACATGAGCCAGAAAACCTCACTGGTTGGGATTGGGTTCAGGGATAATGGAAGGGAGATCCAATTGCAGTTGAAAAGGTGGATGTGAGGGGAGAACAAAGCAATGAAAACCATTCCCGAGCTTGTAAGTCAAGAAACTTGGGGGAGAAAATGAGCTAGAATATGGCTGCTGTTTTATAGAGTGAGAAGATGAATTTGATATTCAATATTCATGTAACCAAGACTGATGTATGTTGTGGAATATTATTTTAAGGTGTGTTCATTTGCTTATGTGGAACATTTGTTTAATGATGCAAAGATGTGTTGCATTCTTTTATCTCGCATTTAACTCTGTGAAGCTGTGCTACTTTGCCTGTCTAAAACACCTGATTGATCTGATAAAGAGCTGAATGGCCAATAGCAAGGTAGGAGAAAGGATAGGCAGGGCAGGCAGGCAGGCAGAGAGAATAAATAGGAGAAAAAGAGAGAAGAAAGATCTAGAAGCAAGAGAAGGAGAAGGACATTAGGGTCCAGCCACCCAGCTATACAGAAAGCCACAGAGTAAGAAGCAAGGAAAAGTATACAGACATAGGGAAAGATAAAGCCCCGAGGCAAAAGGTAGATGGGATAACTTAAGAAAAGAGGGCTAGAAATAAGCCAAGCTAAGGCTGGGCATTCATAAGAAAGAATAAGGGTCCATGTGGATTTATTTGGGAGATGGGTGGTGGGTCCCCAAAGAGTAGAAGAGCCAAAAGAATTAAAAAAAAAAAACCAACTATAGACGTACATGAGAGTACAATTTTATGGCCCCCTTCTCTCTCTCTCTCTCTCTCTCTCTCTCTCTCTCTCTCTGGTAAGTATATTGATGTATGTGTGAGGATATGCTCATGTGAGAATATGTGGGGAGATGGGGAATGTTCAATATCTTCTATTGTTAAACTCCTTTATTTTTAAAATCATAGTTATTTGTTTATTTAGCAAGTGAGAGAGAGAGAGAGAGTACCCATGTGCCAAAATGTACGTGTGGAGAATAGAGAAAAAATTTCAGTTCTTTCTTTCTATCATACATATCCTGGAGTCAACTCAAGTCCCGGGATTTAGCAACAAACACCCTTAACCACGGAGCCATATTGCCATCTTTGATCTTATTTTTTGAGACAGGGTCTCTCAGTGAAACTGAAAGTCAATGTTTCTGCTCAGGTGACTGGCCAGTAGAAATCCACTTGTTCCTACCCTAGTGTTAGAGCTAGAAGAAATGCCTCGGTTTTGACATATGTACTAAGTATTCGAAGTCTGTTCTTGTTTGCACAGCAAACACTCTTTCCTACTGAGTCATTCCCCAATCTACACTTGTTTTCCCTGTAGGTGAAATTAGTGGGACATGTGTTTGTGTTTGTTCCTTTGGGTGCTTTCTTATGATAGCTAACTGAATAATACTATAATTAATTATGGGAAGACTGTATGGATTTTTTTAAAAAAATTAATTCCAGTAAGCATCCCCCCTTGGGACCTGTTCTGTATGCTCAGAGAATAATTTGTTTTGGCTTTATACTCAGCAATGAATCACTAAAGTGTCTCAGCTAGTCCCCAGAGCTGGAGAGACGATCCAGCAATGAGGAGGGCTTATTGCTCTTCCAGAGGACCTAATGCCACCCCCTCCCCCGCACCCAGGTAGGGCACTTCACAACTGTCTAGAACCCCAGTTACAGGGACCCTGACACTCTTTTTCTGACCTCATGACATACACAAGCACATGTACATATAAATATATAAAAGTAAAAATTGTGGGAAAAAGAAACCAGTGACTATATTGGAAGATTTCAGCCAGCATGGTCAAACATTTGTTTCATCTAGACAATTGCCCGAAGTTCACGACGAATTCTGAAATTTACATATTCGCAAATGTGTACTTGCATCCACAATTAAGTTATAAGGTTTTACTCTAACCTTATAAATTTTTTATTTTATAAAATTTTATCTTGTGTTTTTCCTCAGAAACAGGACGGGCAGATTCATTTTCCAACAAGTCCACTAATTTCTTATTTTAAAAGAAAGGCAGAGATCTCTATACTTCAGGTCTACGTTTACCTTATTCAACCATCTTCCATCCCAAACAAACTGAAGAAAACAACGAAACCAACAAAGAAGTAAACGGAAAGAATGCGGAGGGAAATGTTAGGGAACAAGTAAAACTCTAGAGCCCAGTATGAAATCAAGATAGAACGTAAGTAGCTAGACAAACCTATGGGGCGGCGTGTCCTTCAGATTTGAGAAACCAGCTTGTTAAGCGCATTAATTAAGTATGTTTTCCTACAACACTCCATCCCGGCTGCTTATATGGTAGAGCTCACCCCACACCCGCTGTTCTAGATGCCTTTTGTAGGAGGTGAGGACCCGTAGGTAAACACACATCACTGCTATTTTACTTACAGCCACAGCCTCCAGGATTTGCTTCACAGCGTCCGCAGCATCACGCTCGCTGTAATATCCCTTTTCCACAATCCTAAAAAACAGATACAGAATGCTTCTGAGACACATACATTTCGTTGAGTGGACATTAACAGAACTTAATTAAATCAACGTCAGAGAAGATACATCCAAACAATTGCAACAGCCCTTTCCAGCACGGGGGAAGGATTCCACAAACTGCCATTCTAATACCTTGGCTTTGCTAAGAAAATGAAAAACATTCATTTTCTCTCGGCATAAGCTATCCAATCTCCTGGAGGAGAGGCAACTTTTTATTTTAATTTTAAATTGTAAATTATTCTAAACATACACCAAGTAGATGCTATACTATATATACCTCAATAACTAATTTACAGTCAATCTTTATCCTTATCTACTTACTTTCTTTCCTATTGTATTATTTTAAATCAAATAACAGTTACCCAAACAATAGTAAATCTTTTAAACCCATCACTATAACCACAACATCACACCTGTAAAATACAATAAATCCTTAATATCATCACACTTGCTGCGCTGCGATTTTCTAGGTTTCTGAAGATGTTAAATTTTTGTTCACTAGAATTAGTTTTTAAATAAAATTTATGAAACTTGGGTGGTCATTTCTCAAAAAATAACTTCATTTTTGGTTTTGTTTCTTTTAAATGTTACAGCAAGAAGCTACACATTCTCAAAGCAAATGATATTAATAACAGAATTTAAAGCCTCTAAAATGCTTTGAAATTGGGAGACAGAGGAGGATGAAATGCAGAACAGAATAGTTATGATAAAAATTTTAAAAACATAAGAAAATTCCTTAACGATCATAGTTATTAAAATTCAGAAAGGTACGTGATTTTATTTTCCACCTACCGATTCATAAAAACAGTAAAACAAAACTCATAATCTCTTAAAAGAATGAAGCTAGAATATCCCGATATCCACCATTGTTTTATGATTTAGATATTTAAAATTTATTTTATTTTCCCTAATCACTCCTCCAGCTCCTCCTGGATCTACATCCCCTTCCTTACCTATCTGATAAAATGTCCTTTTCAGAAAACAAATAAAAAGCTCTTCAAGTCCCATCTGTGCTTCCCACATACTCTGGACATGTGACCTTCTGCTGAAGTGACCGACCTACTGAAGCACACCCTTAAAGGGACTTGACCCTTCCTCCCCCGGAAGTTGCCAATCGCCAGCGGTTCCTCAGCTAAGGCTGGGAACTGATGCTCAACTCTCCTTTCCCTGCTGGAATTTTTGTCTCTGCTTGAGAAGTTCTTTTGCTAGACACTTATTATGCATCAGGTCAAATAAAATGAAAAATTATAAAAATTGGGGTGTTTATTATTTGCTTATGTCTACTTACAAAAGCTTCAGTCGAAATAAGCTACTTTACGCACACATTTATTGATTGCTTTAGTGTGTTAGGGGCTGTGGGAGGGTGTGGGTGTACCATGACACCCCTGAGTGGGTCAGGGGCTGTGGGAGGGTGCGGGTGTACCATGACACCCCTGAGTGGGTCAGGGGCTGTGGGAGGGTACAGGGGTACCATGACACCCCTGAGTGGGTCAGGGGCTGTGGGAGGGTGCAGGGGTACCATGACACCCCTGAGTGGGTCAGGGGCTGTGGGTTGGTGCAGAAGTACCGTGACACCTCTGAGGAAGTCAGAGAACAATTTCCAGGGCCTGAAGCCAGGAGTTCATCTCGGCAGCATGAGCCTTTACCTGCGGAGCCATCTCACTGGCCCTGAAATAATCTTCAACTACACTTTCCGAACACTCAGATTTTGAGTCTGAGAGAAGAGGAAAGGCTGAGCACTTTGACGACCACGTTATCGCCTTCTCCACCTTGTGCTCTCTGCAGATTTTATGATATAACCACCAACACCACAAACGTGACTGCTGTCTCCTCCACACGCTCTTCCTTGCAAGCTCCGGTTTTCCACAGCTACCTTAGAGGAAGAGCATTGTTACAGAAAATAGCAGAGGATGACAACTGATAATTACCTTTCTTTGCGACCTTTTATTCTTAGCGCAAGGTGGTAAAATCATTTACTTTGTGGCTTTCAGAACTTTGGATCTCCCTATGCCCATTTGCTCAGGATGAGACTCTACCACAACTATTTTGGGGAGCTCCTCGGGGTTAGCAGGGTTAGCCTGCACAGCTCTGCACTATTATTTCCAGTTATCTATCAAATGCTCAGTACATTTGGAAAGGGAATGCTGTACCATCCAGAGTGTCCCTCTTGTCCTTTGGTATAAGTCTCAAGCTTTGACCTGGATGAAGTGTTTATGTGTTTTTATTTGAGTATAATATAGGTTAAATGCCTCATATGAACTGAAACTTTGTATATGCTAAGACTTAGTATGCTAAACCCTAATTTGCCTGTGGGCTTATTCGAATGGCATCAGTAGTTAGGAAGTGGAGTCTTTAGTGGATAACTGGGTCACCAGGGTGGAGCCCTCATAAGCAGGATTAGTGTCCTTACAGAGGAGATGTTATCACTACACTACATGAAAACATAGCATGCAAGCATCTTCAGGAATCCAGAAATCAGCCCCTCACCAGGAACTGAACTTCTAACATCATTATCTTACACTTCCCAGACTCGGAATTGTAAGAAATGCATTTCTGTTGATTATGGGCCACCCAGTCTAAGGAATTTTATTAGACCAATGTTAATGAACTAGTGCAGTGTCTGTGTTCACAAATTATTATATGACTATTCAGGACTGTTTGAATGGAGGCATGACAATTAGTCAAAATACTTCATCTAATTAATAGAGAGGGTGCCTTCCAGCAGACACATTCACTCATTCTTCTTATCTAAGCAGCAGAACAAACAACAGTCTAACTTACCGCCATGAGACAGGCCCTGGGTTCTAGCTAGTTAAGTCTGAGAAAGGTAGTAGTCTAGGATTGGCATCCTATGGGTGGAGGGATAGCTCATCTCAGACCTGAAAAGTGAACCTAAGCTTCCCAGATGCAAGACTGCTGAGAACAGGGCAGAGTGTATGCGGAGTATGGGACCAGGCAGGTAGGAAACTGTTAAAGTCAATAGCAAGAAACTCCTTATCACAAATATGGGTTAACGTGACTTTGATAATAAGTGAAAATAGTAATGGCTGAGCCAAGAAGGATAAAGGTGATGCGTGGACACGGCCTCTGCAGGACTTGAATCATTCACAGAGCCTGGCAGCAAGCACTGCTCATGGAGTCTACCAATAACTGCTCACACTATTGGGACTAATCATCAAAGGAATGGATGGCAGAAAAATGTCAGGCTGAGGCCATCTGGACAAGTTCTTGGCAGATAACCTTTATCACCAGGCGCAAATGCACTGAGCTTGGAAGTGAAGCCCATCCCAGGCACCTAAGCCCTAGAGGGAGATCTTCTCAGCACATCCTAAAAGCAAACCTATAAGCAGGGCTATAAGCGTGAAGCTATACAGTCTTAGACGTCACTATAATGCTTCTTTGTAAATCTTCTTTGAAACTTATTTTTAAAACGATATCAAAGTGATTCAGATTCAGCAGAACAGCACACTTGTCTCATGAAGTGACACACATTCCATTATACAAGTTAGCTGGCATCTTTTAAAAAATGGCAACAAAACTGTACATGCTAGGGCAGTCATGGGCTTACATCTCTATACAAAATGTACTAGTGATTTTGATTTTCAAAAGTAATGAAAGTTTTCAATCACTGTGAGAAGTGTAGACCTTTCAAAAAAAAGAGGAGATAATTTTTTTCCTTTGTTGTCTCTATATTGAAGCACATCAATCGATGGAGGAAGGTCATTGGTTAAATAAAAAGAAACTGCTTGGCCCTCATTGGTTAGAAGATAGGTGGGAGGAGTAAACAGAACAGAACGCTGGGAGGAAGAGGAAGTGAGCTCAGACTCCACAGCTCTCCTCTCGGGAGCAGACGCCTCAGAGAGACGCCATGCTCCCAGCTCCCAGGCAGACGCATGCCATGAAGCTCCGACCCAGGATGGACATAGGCTAGAATCTTCCCGGTAAGCGCACCTAGGGGCGCAACACAGATGATTAGAAATGGGCTAAATTAATATGTGAGAATTAGCCTAGAAGAGGCTAGATAGAAATGGGCCAAGCAGAATGAATACAGTTTGTGTGTTGTTATTTCGGGTGTAAGCTAGCCAGGCAGCCGGGGTGCTGGGGACGCAGCCCCGCCGCCCCTATTTACTACAATCAATTTTCAAGTTCTGTAAAATGATTGGAATGTGGTTTAGATACTATCAGAATCTTGAGATCATTTTCTGAGGTCCAAGTCACATGACTTCTCTACATGAGACAACTCTACAGCACTCCATTGCTGCAAGGCTAGAGGGCTCTGAGCTAGAACAATATGTCTCCCAAAATCTCCATGACAACCTTGGCCCAATGGCCACCCTGGGACCACACTTCTTAGAGGATGGAGAGAGTTGGGAAGACATCAGAGGACAGCTTACCTAGGCTCTTTGCTACAATGCCCCCTGCCTCAACAGCATCCTTCCTTAACTACTGTGTTTTTTAACTTCCACTGCTTCCTGTGCGGCTCCGTGCCGGCCTCTCCTCCCGGGCTGATCTGTTTTCCTTCATACCGTGGTTCTTTTCCCCTAACTGCAGGGTAAGAACATATGGGCACTAAGTATTTTTCTCCGAGGATCTGGTTTGGCGCACGACTCTGGCGCATTTGCTTCTCTCAGAATAATTGCCACAAATTGAATTGAGCGCATCTCCATCCAGACAGTTAGTGAAGGCCCTGCAGCCGAAGTGCTCAAATCTGATCATGTCCTGAGGCCTCAGACTTCCTGGCACAGAGATTATCAGCTCTACCGCCCTGTGTACCAATCACAGCTCTTTCTCAAATGGCAGGGCTATCAGGAAGCAAGAGACATTGGTGGACTAATGAAAATGTGTAGCAAAGGGCTGGATGTCAGAAGATAAAAGCCCCAACATAACACGAGTTTCAGGAATCAAAACTACAGCACGGTGCTGCTACACACAACATTCTATTAAAGTGAATACTTCTGTGCTCCAGTGTAATTG